GAGCAAAAGCGTATTTACATGGAGATGCTCAATGCTGTGTGTGAAAATACCAGAGGTAAATGTAATGTTTATTTTTCAAACCATGTGTTAGTATGGACATGGTTAAATTGAAAATAAATATATAGATTTTAATATATTTACAATGAAATTGTTGCCACGTAGTGAAGCATACTTACTCTTTTATATAGGATTTTTCTTGGTCTACAAATATGATGGAGCTGGAATTTTTTTCCTGTGGAATACTATGCAACATTTATTAGGCGTGAAGGAAATTGTTCTTGCAGTTGCATGAAGTGGAATAGTGGTGTCACTATTGCCTGGGGACAGGAAAACGCATTCTAGATTTTCTATTTGACTGAACATCATTGAAAACTCCAGTTGTAATATTAATCAAGGAAGTTCCAAGGCAAAGCTCCTCCAATCTACATCCCTAATTATATGGGACGAAGCACCAATGGTGCGCAAACATTGTTTTGAGGCTTTAGATAAAACTTTGAAAGACATTATGAGCCTAAGTGACCCTATTTAATGAAAATGGGCTGTTCAGAGGGAAGGTTGTTGTTCTTGGAGGATACTTCCGGCAAATTTTGTTGGTCAAGTCAAAGGGGGGAAGAGCATCAACTCTTTGGAGTGATTGTTCACTTCGGCGTCTCACGAAGAATATGATATTACTTTCAACTGCTCTTGATGAAAAGAGTGTCATTGAAAAGTTAGGTTCATGGATTTTAAAGGTCGGGGATGGTGATATTGAACAACAAGTAGATGGAATTTCACAAGTGGAAGTAATTGATGAATTTTTATCAAGGCATAAGATAATTAGATAAGTACCTAACAGCTATCGTTAATAGCACTTATCATAACCTGCAAAAACGTCTCAATGATCCAACTTACCTATATGAAAGAGCGATACTTGCACCTACTTTAGACGTGGTTCGCCAAATAATTGACTACATGCTATCTTTGGTTCCTGGTGACAATGTCATGAACGTCAGCTCAAATAGCATTATCAGTCCATATATTGGTTTGTGTCACGAGAGTGACAAGTACACACCAGAATTTCTTAATAGTCTCTCACTCTCGGAACTGCCTGGTCACGAATCACATCTAAAGGTTGGTGCTCCCATTATGCTCTTGAAAAATATAGATCAATCGGTGGTATTATGTAATGGAACTAGGTTAAATCTCACTAATCTTGGATATATGATGGGCACCGTGCACATTCCTAAAGTGTTGTTATCTCCATTTGATGTAACATTCCTTTTTAGTTTTCAGAGGAAGCAATTCCGTTTGTGGTATGTTTTGCGATGAGCATCAACAAGAGCTAAGGTTAGCCTTTTATCTCAAGCCGGACTATGTCTCAAGAAAAACGTCTTCACTCATGGTCAATTATATGTTTCCATATCAAGCTAAGGATCAAGAGTAAAGAAGAATTAAATATTTTGATTCGCTCTAAAGATCAGGGTTTTTCACCAAGACCATAAATGTTGTCTATAGTGAAGTTTTCAAGAATTTAGAAACAGTCTTTCGATTTTTTATGTCTTTCGATCATTCTAATGTGTTACAGATCCTAAATTCTTTTTTTATTATATATTATATAATATTGTATCGGATTAATAAATATTTCAATGATTTTGGCAATTAGAATTATATTACAAAATTCACACGAAAGATATATTTAAAATATACGGAGTACATACCATATGGGAGTTTCACCCGGGGCAACGCCCGGGCACAAAACTAGTTGGTGTTTAATCCAATTACGAGAGCTATATCTACGAGAACAAATGAAATTTAAGCAGCGTAAGACAATATTATTAATCCGGAATTCGGTCCCTTGATAGATATGTACAAGAAGTATTTATATACCTTAGGTACTAATGTTCTAGGAGGAAACTGATACATTAAATGCTATTAAATGAAATAGACTCTTGTAACATCTCGCACATTGTGCAATGATTGTTTCCCTCAGGTCCACGTTTCTCCACGTTTCTCGTGTTATTCATGCCGCTGCCAGATAGCTATGTGCGAATGATACCCTGCCACATAAGCCCTAGGAAGAGTCCGACCTCACTAGAACTCCGCCCAGGCTCGAGGTCTGCTGTCCAGCCCGACCTGGTTGTGGGTTGATCCTTTCGTGGGTCCGATTCCTAATTAGGACTAGCGGCTAATTAATATTAATCCCGAATAAAGGGCTGATCCCGTCGATGGGCTGATCCCGTTAAGGGCTAATCCCTGTTCAGGGCTGATCCCATTTATGATCTAATCCCATTAAGGGTTTTTATTATTAATTTCGTATTTGGGCCATGGCTGTAATCCATGGTACCATCACGAGCCACCTACTCTCTAAAATCAGACGGGCTGTATTTTAGGAGAGTAACGAGCCCTTATTTCAATTTTCGAATCTTTGATGATTTGTCGCGCCACCCAACCGGGCTTACACGAGTTCCAAGCCTGTCTTTTCGGCTGCAACACTCAATTAACCTTACGCCGGTTTCCAAGTGGTCCTTGAGAGGTTATCACATCACCATTATATAAACGTGTTCCTCCCTCAAAGAAACCTTTTTTTAATCATCTCGTCCATAAAATCCATTGAAGCTTTTGCTCGCAAACCCTAGGAGGCCCTTCTCCCGTCGTCTGCTTCGAACTTCCTAAACCCTACTCAGGTCAGTTCTCATGTCGTCTTCTCATACCATTCCTTCTCGTTCTATTCCTCCAGAAGAAGAGGGGCTTGGCTCTAGCCATCCCCCGATCCCGGTGGAGTCCCATGGATTCGAAACCCACTTCTTCTTGTCCGCCAAATTTGCTCGGGGGATTTTGGCTGTTCCGATTTCGGGCGCTGAATTTTCCGAGGCAGTTCACCTTGTTGGGCCTTCCGTTGTCTGTTCTCGCCCTACACCGGGTCAGAACATTGTCGAACCCCCTTCCCCTCTCCATTTTGGGGTTCATCTGGCTAGCTTAGAGATGGGTCTCCGTTTCCCCTTCACCCTACTCTTCTTGACATAATGCGTCATTATGGTGTCATTCCGAGTCAATTCACCCCTACTCCTCACCTGTTTATTGTCGGGTTCATAGCCCGAGTCAATTCACCCCTACTACTCACCTATTTAATGAGGCACGATAAAAATTTCCAAAGTAATAAATGTAATCAACAGTGTAAAAAAAGTAGGAGAAAATGTGAAAAAAATGAAAGAAAAAGAATTAAAATAGAAAACTGTAAGGGTAACTGAGTGTTTTTAAAGGAAAAACTTATCAAAAAGAAAAAAAGTATAGCAAAAATTAAAATACATCCCAAAATGTAAAGTGTAACATTTTGTTTTTAATGTTTTTATAATTGTTTTACATTTTTATTTTTGACGAAATTCACAAGAATAATTCATACTTATATGGATTTTATAATAACAATCTCTACTTAGAGTGTCTATAAAAGTAATTTGTACTAGCAATAATGTCCACATGAATAAATTAGAGTGAATTCACCTTCCCCTTCACCACTCTTCGTCTCAATTATGCTCCAATATAGAGAGAACCACATATGACGAAAATGATGTTGAGATTAAACAGATTTTAGTGATAGTAAGGATTGAGGGTATTAAAGGAGTGTTAATTTGAATTCACCTTGAATTATTCTTATGCACATCGTTTCTAGTTCGGGTTATTTTTGTAGACACTATCAGTGTGGATTATTATTGTAGAATCTCTAAAAGCAGAGATTATTCTTACGAATCCCACCTTTATTTTTTAATGGGGCAAATAAGCCCTCGAACTAATCAAAAAAGTGCAAATAAGCCCTTTTGTAGGCGGTTGTGTCCGATCATCGTCATTTAGGGAGGTTCTCGGTAGAATTTTTTGATAAATTTTTTTGAGCATCTTCTTCATTAAGTCTAGTTTAGCCATACCAAATTTCAGTTAAATATTCAACCGGGAAGGCACTCAAATGATTTTTGGAAATATACTGCGTTGTTTAACTGCGCAATTATCTTCAAAAATTCATTTGACTGTCTTCCCGATTGAATTTTTAGCTGAAATTCGGTATGACTAAACTAGACTTAATGAATAAGATGTTCAAAAAAATTAATCGAAAAATTCCACCGGGAACCTCCCCAAATGACGATGGCCGGACGGAACCTCCTCCAAAAGGGCTTATTTGCACTTTTTTTATTAGTTCGAGGGCTTATTTGCCCCTTTTCCCTTTTTTAATGTTTAAGTAATTTTGTTGTTTATATTTATTCTCTTTATTTTATTTTTTCTATATTTAAATCACACACACTTTATAGCACTTTAAAAGAAATCATACTCAGAATTCCGAAAATAATAGAACAAAAACAAGACATGGGAATCTGTAAGTTGCACATGGAATGATTGGAGGGGTTTTGACACTAATATTATTAAATGGAAAGCTAAAGGGTCAAACTGGTCTTTCTATTTGTTGAGTAAGTTCAATTCAGTTCCTAAATTGAAAAAATATCCAATTCACACCCTGAGTTGGGAAAATAGAAAAGTGTCGCAACTAAAATATAAATAAAATTAAAATTCACAAATAAAATTTAATGTGAGAAATGGAAGAACTAAAATACAAATATGCGTATATTATCTTTTCATCTTTTTTATATACTTTTTATTTATATTTTGATTTTATCGGAAAATATAAATATTTTTGTCATATACATTTATACTCTATCTTATAACTTTATATATTTATTTTAAATTTATTTTGAATTTATTCCAATGTTGAACCTTTCTAAGAGTTGAGTGGGTTAATTGAACAATCCGAACATGTTCAAGGACTTATTTGAGCTTTAAGTTTCGAAGCTAGATGCACAGTTGGCAACTTGGCCGGTGACGTGAGGGTGACCAAATGGTGACCCATTACAACTGAAATTTGAACTACTTTTTTCTAGTTCAGGGTACGATCTGAACATTTTTTAGTTCAAGAACTGAATTGAGCTTACTGGATATGTACGATGGCCTATTTAACCGTTTAGCCTAAACTGAAATTCATGGACAGAAATCAATCTAATTTTAAATATTTCAAAAAAAAAAAAGACTTGTGTGACTCTTTTGTGCTCCTTACTCAATCTGCCCACTTACAGTTACCCGTCCGACTAGTTACATTTTCCCATTTCGACCAGTTATACTTGCGTGATCCGACCAGTTACAGTTACTCAACCCGATAAATTACATTACCTAATCCAACCAATTACAGACTTACAATTACGTAATCCACCCATTTACGATTATCTGATCTTATAGTGAGTACCACCATCAACCACCCCCGCCACCACTACCAACCACCACGTACCTCCGGTGACCCACCTCTCTCCACTGCCAACCGCCATCGCATCCGACCAAGACCTCCGTCCACCACTACTTGTGACCACCATACCCAAACCCCCGTCACTGATGCCTGCTCTCGACCCAACATCTACCGTGTGCTCCTACAATGGCGGGGCTCCATCGAAGACGACGATCCTCTGATCAGATTTAGCGAAAAAGGGTTCGGTGTTGCTGCTTCAGAGAGCAATTGTTCATCCACAACCAAGCATTGAGAATGAAGGAAACTTCATCGCCGATGGAATCTTGGCCGATTAAGTCCCTTCCGCCTTCACTCATCGTTCTCGTCGCCTGGCGCTGGAGTCTCCACTTGAATTCCCAGTGCGGCTAGCCAAAGAAGGAAATGGAACTTTGGATGCGTATGTGATTTAGGGTTCACGATGACAAGTTGGGACATTGTAGATATTGGCTATCATTTTCAGATAGTTCTTTGTCCCAAATAAAAATGGTCCTACAATTGTCCATTTAAAAGCTGATTGTATTACTTATGTCATTATTTCATACTAAGTATATAATACAAACACATAAAAGAAAAAAAGAAAAAGAAATGAGAGATCAATGAAGGAACCAAATTTATGATCCAAGCAGCTTTTTCCATCTGGCATAGCCTAGGACGATGAAGAAGAGAATGATACAAGCAGTTGTGATACCAGCAACGAATGGCCAAAATACCCCTTGTATGTTGTATAGGGTACAAGGGATGTTCATGCCAAACCAACCCGCTACAAGGGTCTCCACGGCTATGGCAAAGGATGCAATGGTCAATATCAGCTGCAGTTGAATCAGTTCATTCCGCTGATTGTCTAATTGGATGTTGACATAATCCTCTGTGTCATCTATGTATTCGCGCACCTGAGGTTTTTTGACAACCAAACTCACAGTAAGTTACTGCTGGCCACTCGGGCCGGGACTCGGGAGTATGGATTATGCCCAACAAGACAACAAAACCGAAGAAATACTTACAGATAATATCTTATTACGGGTGCCTTCCAACTGCATGAAGTAAGCCTCCAGCAACATTTCAAGATCTTCCACGTCATCATCTAAGCAGTTGCTCACTAAGCTTCCACTCCTGGTGGAACCTAACCTTCTGAAATTCGGCACCATGGGAGTAATGGCATTTGAACCTGTAGTGGCAGTTCCCAATAGCATTGCTTCAGATTGTTGATTCTGAATCGATTTCCTACTTAAGTACAACTGGGCCATGTCTTCATTATCATCCAAAAGGTGCTCAATCTCATCTCTGACCTACCAACCATCACAAGTACTACTCTCAATTAGCACACAAAGGTTATACAAGACCAATGTGAGACATTGACATAAGCAGTAGTATATGACCCAGTAAAGTATCTGTTCGTCCTTAGACAGCTCACCAACTACCAAGTAAAGATCATTAGAAGTTGCCATGGTGTGCCTCAGACAGTGACAATTTTTTTTTCTGAACGTTAGCGTCTGTTTGGAACTTGCAAAATGCTTGGAAAAGAAAATATAGGTGTGATTTTGAAGGATAGAAAGTGTGATTTGTTCCAAGTTTAAACTCAGTAGTACTTTTCTTTTTTTATATTTGTTCAAACTGAGTTTTAAATATTTATCTATTTCTATAATATAAAGATTAAAAAATCTAAATCATCATCATTACCCCAGTGCCGCAACCTACGGTGGGGTAAGGGGGGGTCGGATGTAAGCAGCCTTACCTCTGTACTAAAGCACAGAGAGACTGTTTCCGGAAGATCCAAGGTGAAAAAGCGGGTCGAAAATCGCATGGACTGAATACTGCTTCATACTACGTAATAAAGAAGCGCAGACAGTTTAATGAGTCATTTTGCTTTATTCCATCATTTTCCCAAACCAAAAAATGACGAATCTTTGGCTCCATTGCAAATGATGGAAAAGAGATTATAAAAAAAAACCACATTTCATTTTCCATTGCCTTTTATTCGTAAAACCAAACACACACCTAAGGGAGTGTTCGCTATTGCTTTTACAGTTTTACTTAAAAAAAGTGTTTTTTAAGTATTTCAGAGAAAGTGCTTTTTAGTAAAAGTTGAGAGTGTTTTAGAATATAAATGATTAAAGTGAAAAAGTTAAAGTTGAAGTGTTTGATAAAAAAGTGATTTTTTACGTGAGATATGGTCAAAATACACAAATGCCCATACATAAATTATACCCTAAAAAAATTAGCCTCTCCTCACTAGAGAAAAAACGCAGCATCCCCATAGCAGGTCAACGATTTCTTTGCAGGCGAAGAAATGTTTTTGGGTCGAAATTAGAAGACTCCCATTTTTTTTAATTTATAGCTCCTGGAATTGAATGTGCATAGAAGGCAACCAGACACTACCCAATTTCTTTGCCGATGAAGGAGGATTCCGCCGATTGTCCTTTGAATCAGTAATGGTACACCTAGTATTTATATATGTATGTGTGTATACGTTGTGTATATATGTATATATATCGAAGGATGTCTGGGAATGGCAAGATGGAGGAGGGAAGAGGAACAGATGTGACGCAGATTAATGGGATGCGAGAGAATGATGAAGGGTATTTTGGGTTGTGCAGAAAAATTAACCATTATGATTAACCTTCAAGTTTGATTTATTTACAAAAAAAACAAGAAGCAGTTAGAAGTTGGTATATACCAGCTTCCAGCTTTTAGCTTTAAAGTGCTTTTTTTAAGCTGAAGCGGGTGTTTGAAAACACTAATTTAAGCTTTTTTAAGTCAAAAGCCGAGAAGTGCTTTTTTTAAGCTTTTGCAAACACTTCTTAAAATTTCTGGAGTCCAAATGGGTATATTCAATCCATTATTATTATGGTTCAGGTCTGACTGTGCATAGTCCTGACATTCTGCAGATTTACCAGCTTACCATTCTTTTCAAAGAAGTTGTTTATAAACAATGTACAAGAGAGAGAGAGAGAGAGAGAGAGAGAGAGAGAGAGAGGGAGAGAGAGTATCACATTCTAATATAAAAAGAAAAGTCACAGAAGCATACCTTTTGTACACGTGCTAGCAAACGCGTAAGGTTGCTTTTTAAGCTCCTAACATGTTCAAGGTTCCTTGTGCTAACACTCATGGCAAGTTCATCAAGAACAGGATAAGCATCTCTCTCAAGTTCCGCCACATTAGAATCGAGATACATACACACAACTTCTAATGCAACCTCCAGCACCTGGAACTCAAATGGAAGTTGTTCAGCATGCAGGCCTCCTTCAATAGTTTCTTGTAGCCATTTTCCAGCACCTGGAAATTGCAAGTCATCCTCTTGTACATCATTTGTTCCATTTGTATTCTTTGAAGAACTCTTCTGAGGCAATTGGTGTCTCAGCTGATCAATAAAAGGAAGAACCTCTTGACGTAGAGGATCGAGCAACAACAGCTCTTCGGCAGTAACTATTCCTCTTACAAACTCCAAGTTAATAATCATAGCCTTCTCCCTAGCTGCATTAAAATCAATAAGAACTCTGATGTCAACACATTAGCTACGCAAATCACGTATATGCAATGAAAGAATCAGCAGAGGTTGTGCAAAAACATTTTTTGACACGAATTTAATGAATGTGTGGAGCAGCTATCGATCTTAGACAATAACTTCGGGATATTCTTTGTTGTAGAACATGTTCATGGTGCTATGGTAGTACCTATATAACGATGCTATGGTAGTACCTATATAACGATCTCACACTGTATAGATGTCATGATACACACACACACACACATAAAGGGGTGTTTGAGTCAGGCGCATCCGATAGGATTTCCATCCTGCGAACTCCGCATTTGGCCTATTAAAAATCAACAGGTTTTCACTCATTAGCATCAACTATTAATTTTTAACCGTTAGATCTTCAATTTGTGTGAAGATAACACTAGGAGCTTAGTTTTCCACCTTCACATTTTATCTAACTGTAAAGATGAATTCATTAGTAAAACTGGTCTTATCATCAGTAAGACTGGATTTCAAAATTCAGCTAACGATTAACATTAAGTGCTGATCCTGATGAGCTAAAAAAAAACTGGACCGTTGACTAAATTTTGGGCAAAAAACATAGTGTGCCTGATGGGAATCCTATGAGGCACACCTGATAGGAACTGCCCCATGCGCACGTAGTCTGTCCATTTTTATCTATCTTTGAGTGCATGCATGAGAGAGAGAGAGAGAGCTATGTTGGGAAGAAAAACGGAGGAGTTAGCTCTGATATATACATACAGCGGTTTCAGTTTCTCTGAATCTGAAGTTATTGAAAACGATTAAAGGTTTGGTTTTCTAGACTTTTTTCCTTTCATAAGAAATATTGTCGGTTCTGTTTCAAGATTCCTCAGTGAGGACTAGTCCTTCCGGATTCTGCAAAGCTGAAATCAGAGTTTCTGGATCTTCAAAGAAGTGTTTTTAGATTCACTTCCTATCAATAGGTATGAAATTTAACCTCTACAGCAGATCTATGATAGAGAGATTGGGTATTTATCAAATATTTGCTTTTGCATTGTTAAGTGCTAAGCTATTAATCTGCTTCTGGTTGAACACTGTTTGCTTTATTGCCATGACCTTGTAATCGGGTGATACATAGGATCGGCTCGTTTTGACTTCCGTTCATAATATTGACAAATATATCTTTTTCGTGAGCTAGATTTTCATAGCGATAATGATTCGTTGGAGAAAACATGGTTTGTTTGCCTCTACTGGACCTGCAGTTATTGATGTTTTCTTGGAGGTCCTGATTGAACATTGAAAGCTCCCCCCACCGTAGGCTTAGATGTCTTTGATTTCAATGTACGGGCACTTGCAATAAGAGAACAGGTCTGCTGCTATTCAGTTATGCTATCTACACGTAACATAATAAAGAGAATAGAAAGAAGTCAAATTTAAGGACTACCCATTGCATTGAAGCGCTGAATGAATCAAAATGTCAAACAGATTGTATTCACGGAAAGAGAGAGAAGGGGGATTAGGTACCGAGGATGCTGGAGGATTGAGAGAATATTGGGCCAAGGATCCTCAAGTCCCTAGTAGGAACGGAGGCGCGCTTGATGATTGAACTCTTGTCGCACTCCATCAGCTCCGATTGCCCCATCCGATCAAATCTCATCCACAGCCTGGAGCCACCTGCCTTCTTCTTCGCCGTCTTGCTCGGCCCTACATTCGGCGCAATCAAATTCCCGCTCCCGTTTCCAGATGAGTGATCTGTTGCACGAGGCGGCCTCTGTGGCGTCCCCGTCACCCCCTTCTTCTTCCTCCGTAGCGAGAATTTTCCCTTCCCCATGTCCCTCTCTGTAACCCAAATCGGTAAACCGCATGCGTATCGTTACTGCTAATCCTTTACTCGATCCATAAACTTATCTTCTGCTTCCTCTACTCCTTCATACACAACTCAACGATATTCTTTTGCTCACAGAATTTCCCCCCTGATTTGATCGTCGGTCGACCGTGGGACCATTCTTCCAACTTCAAAAGTGAAACGCAAGCTTATTCATAGCTTCCAGGCAATTTTACTGGTCCCGCCGCGGTGTGGTTTCCGTTTTTTACCGATTCGAGTTCTAAGAAAATGAATAATTGGCAATTGGGCTAAATAAACTCCCAAAGCTGCCCAGTTGCAATGGAGTCATTATAACAATTAATTAGTTGATCTGTTGAAACTTATTAAATTATGTCTAAAATGGTAATAAAAATATATTTTACTAATAAAATAACGAAAAAATTATTTAAAAATAACTAAAATTGTCCTCTACAGTAACTTCAATCAATACACAATTAGAAAAGTAACTTCAATCTTACTTTATACCATCAAGGATGGATTTCTGTAGATTCTTATGCATTTCTAACCTAAAATAAAACAACACTACACACATCTTTATCAAAATCTGGCCATTTATATTCGAATTGTCATAAATCTCATTGAATTCTATTGGAATGTGATAGAATATATGGAATTCTATAGAAACTTAAGGGCGCCACAAATCTAAAAAATCTCCATATTATATGTTGAGTAACTCACCTTAGACTTTTAACAGATCATTTTAATGGAAATCACGTGATATAATAAATCATAGTCGTTATATAACTCAAAAGTCAAAAGAAACAAAAACCATTGTCCCAATTAGACCCATAATAACTCAAAGCCCGTGTAGCTCCTAGAATCATACTTTGAGTATGATCACTTCATAGGAGCATGTTAGCCGTGTTAGCTAGGGATGGCCTCGGGCTGGTTCGGGCCTAGGCCCGGCCGGGCCTCGGTTCAGAAAAATGAGGCCCGAGCCCGAACCGGTGGTGGGCGGTTCCGGGTCCGGTTCCGGGCCAGACCGGGCCGGGCCAGGCCACCCAGATTTTTAATTTTTTTTTCTTCTTCTCTTATTTAACCCCCTACCCCTCCCCCTCCACCCCAAACCACCCCAAACCACCTCAAATGGCCCAAAATACCTAATCCAACCCAAAACTTTAAAAAATTTCAAAAAAAAAAAAAAATTCCAGCCCGAACCGGGCCCAAACCGGCCGGGCCGGTTCACCAAAACATAGGCCCGAGCCCGAACCGCCCAAAGGCCGGGCCGGTTCGACCCGAACCGCTGGGCCCACCGGTTCCCGGGCCGGGCCGGGCTCAACAGTAACCGGCCCAGGCCGGTTCCGGGTCGGGCCGCCCGGCCCGAGTCCATCCCTAGTGGTAGCCGTGTATATGGGCTCGAGTGTATATATTATGGGCTAAGGGTTTTGTATAGATTTTCTTTAACCCTATTCTTAGTACTTAACTTTGTATAGATACTTCATATAGATGATGATATAAGATACGGGTGAATTAAACCCAATACTCCGTATTATTATTTTCGATTACCGCATCCCTTCTTTTAGCATGGTATCAGAGAATTCGGACGAGTAGGCGTTCATTTGTCGTTCACCTTCCACCGCTCTTCGTCGTACGCTAGGCACCAGCGTGTTTTGGCAGATAGCAAACATGATGGATATTACACCACCTTATTACCTTGGCTCCGGAGATCAACCGGGCAACCTTATAACGCATGTGATTTTCAAAGGGGATAATTACGTGGCTTGGTCACGTGCTATCTTGTTATCGTTGAAAGCTCGGCGGAAGAACGGGTTCGTTGACGGTACACTTAAAAGGCCGGAAGAAGCGGCCAGACAATCCGACTGGGAAACTACCAACTCTATGGTGGTATCCTGGCTTTTGCATAGCATGGAACCGTACGTCCGTGGTGTCCTCGGTGTCGTTTCACGAAGAAGCTCGAACTCTATGGCTTTATCTGGAAAAACGGTATAGCGTGGCGAAAGGACCCTGGCTACAGCAATTAAAGGCATCAATTTCGGCATGCAAGCAAACCAAAACTATGAACGTCGATGCTTATTATATGACATTGATGTGCCTCTACGATGAATTATACCGGTTGAAGTCGCTTCTAGTGTGCACGTGTGCAAATTGCATGTGCAATAGTCGGGAAGATTGAAGCCAAGAGGGATGAGGAACAATTTCACCAGTTCCCAGTTGGAATTGATGATGAATTGTTTGGCACAGTGCGTTCCAATCTTTTCTCACAAAACCTGTTGCCAAACATCGAACGCGCACTTCAAGCGTTTCTCCAGGAAGAGACTTCCATGGCTTTTGTTTGCGAAAAGACCACAGCAGTGGGAGGTGTGCACGCTTTCACCTTTCAGATGGACCGGACTGCAAAGGGCCGCATGAAAAAATCAGGCCGTCCAAGACCCATGTGTACACACTGCAAGTAGAAAGGGCATGAGGTCGGGACGTGTTTTAAACTACACGGATATCCGGAATGGTGGGAAGAGCGGAACCGAAGCAAAGGCGCACCGCACTGGCTGACCGTGGAGGGGGGAGGGGTTCATACGCATGCTGTAGTGACCACCCTATTGCCGGCGGCCAAAGGGTCCTCCACTCGAATGCAGGCGACAATCATAACAGTGGGCCAGAAACCTTGAGCAACGAGCAGGTGCAGGCTCTCCTAAATTTACTTCAAGCCGATACTCGTTCTAATGACCGGATGACAGGTATGTATTCTTCACTTGAATGGATTATTGACACCAAGGCATCACATCATGTTACAAAAGACACCACTTGCCTTACAAACCCCGTTACTATTCCTCCGTGTCCGATGGGGCTGCCGGACGGGCGCACGGTGGCTGCGGTCGTGGCTGACCGAGTCACATTAGCCGAGGGTTTTATTCTTGACAAAGTCCTTTATGTGTCGGGACTTCGTTGTCATCTTATTTCCGTATCCCAATTAACGAATCATATTGATTGTCTTGTCTCTTTTACTAATAATCTTTGTGCTATACATGACCTGCCCTCGAGGAACCTGATTGGAGCCGGCGAACGACGGGATGGGCTATTTTACTTCAGACAGGTACCGGTCTTGCATAATGTTCAGGCATCCGCATCAATATCGGAGTTTGAGTTGTGGCATCGCCGGTTGGGTCATCCTTCTGATCGGGTTCTAAAGTTATTACCTGCATTTATTTCTAGTTCTTCTCAGAGAAAATTAAATAAAACTTGTGAAGTGTTCCCACAAGCAAAGCAAGTTCGTGATTCCTTCCCTAGTAGTACTAATAAAACCAGTAGAATATTTGAACTCGTTCATTGTGACTTGTGGGGTCCGTATAAGACCCCGTCTATGTTGGAATTTATTGAGAAATATAGCTCAAGTGTTCAACATGTATGATCCTTAAGTATTATTTTAATTAAATAATAAGTTTGTATTAAAAATTCTCTTTTAATTGAAAAATATTATTATTATAAATATGAGAACAATTTTACTGTCATGTGAAATTGTGGTCTCGTTATTAATAATAATTAAATTAAAGTTACATAATTTTATGCCAACTTTTATGTACGTACATAATACATATTTAGTGCACTACTTATGACTTTTATCAAATTGTTAGTATATACTTGTATGTGTACCAACGTGTACGTATGTACACATGAAGTAATGTGTGTCGTTTATCTCTTATCGGTTATTGGTAATGGCCAAGTAGCCTTTTGGATGTGTACGTACATATATTTTCGAACGGTTACATCTTTTTGTAAGAGAAGTTTCTCAATCTATAAATATTGGATCGTGTTGAACTCTGGATGTACGAAAAATCGATTAGCATTTTTCTCACATCTCATCTTGTCCTGTTTTATCTCTATTAACTGCAGTAATAGTGATAGAATATTTAGACTACTATATATACAAATCACTTGTTCGGCGTTATTTTATCGGTAACTAAAATACATCATACACCTTCTTTTTATCCCAAAAGTTCTATCTTGTAACCCGGTCACTGTGATAAGGGTAGATAGTAAACTTTTAGGAAAACGTATTCAATACGTGACTAGAAGTGATATCCGCTTTAGCCATATTTTATACCCTTATATTTCACCATTGTTATCCTCCGGTTCTAACAGTCTACTTGTGATGCAACCTATTTTCTTACACTTGTTGATGATTTTTCAGTGTTGTGTGGGTTTATTTTTACGTGATAAAAAGGAGGTTCATCCATTTCTTCTGTCATTTATTGCTATGGTTGAGAAACAATATGACGTGTCTGTCAAAATTGTGTGAAGTGACAATATGACCAAATTTAAATGCATGTTGTCTTATTTTGATGCACATGGTATTCTTTTTCAAACCTCATGCGTCACACACCCCAGCAAAACAGGAGAGTGGAATGCAAAAACCGCCACATTTTAAATGTGGCACGAGCATTGATGTTTCAGGCTCATATGCCTATCAGATTGTGGGGAGAATGTGTACTCGCTGATGTACATCTTATTCATAGGACCCCGTCTGGCATTTTGGATGGGAAGACACCCTATGAGCTTCTTAATGGGGCTCCGTCTGATTTTTCTCATTTACGTGTGTTTGGATGCCTTTGTTTTGCTCACAATACCAATTCAAATCTCGTGAAAACACATTTTTCCTACGAAGCCGACGTGGGGGTTTTTGTGGGGTATCCTCATGGAAAAAGGGGGTGGAAAAGTTTGGACTGGATCACGGGAGAAATATTTGTTTCTCGCGATGTGATTTTTCACGAAGGTGATTTCCCATTTGTGGCTCAGACTCCTTCGTCCCAAGAATCTCATACGCATGACACCGGTGTTATGACCTCCTCCTAGTTTATTCATGATCCCGATCCCACTGCCATGCAATCGGCCGTCCCTCCAGTTGATACTTAAGCTCATGATCAGTCCGACATTGTGGCTCTTGGCAGGGGTTTGCGTTCCAAACGCCCCTCGGTGTTGTTACGAGACTTCATCACACATCATCTACATGCATTGAGCCCATCCCCGTCGCCCACCTCCTCCGTCAGCCCCTCAGGTACTCCTTACCCTATAGCTGATTATGTAAAATGTGACAAGTACTCTATTGGCCATCGTTGTTTTCTTGGAGCATTACTTGCAGGTCGTGAACCTCAATCTTTTAAAAAGGCTATGTCTGATACTGGTTGGCGCGAGGCTATGCAGAATGAAATTCGAGCTCTTGAAAATAATCACACCTGGGTTATGGAGTCTCTTCCGCCAGGTAAGAAAGCTCTTGGGTGCAAATGA